GGAGGCCCTTCTAGAGCTTCTCCATTATCACACACCAATTGGATTTGTCGTAAAAGCTCTCAACAATTGATGCACCACCAATCTCTGTGATGAGCCTGCAGCACAGAACACCAGGAAGAACATGAGCAGAACCACAAAAAAAACTTCAGTATAACAGTAAGAACAAACAAACGAACAACAGCAAGCACACAATTGCATGATACGCACCTCTCCAGCTCTCCTTGAGTGAAAACATAATAATATCGGTTGTACACCACCGACCCCTTCGCTTCATCGCGCCGAGCAAATCCCGAGGCTACATGCTGTGCAGCTGCTGCCGAGCCTATCTCCACTCGATGACATGGCAGGTGCCACGGGACCAGAAACTCCTGGGAAGCTTCCTCTCCTGTCACTTTCCCTTGCTCAGACTCTCCTGTCCTTTCTTCCCCCGACCCTCCCCTTCCAAGTTCTGGGTTTGGGTTCTTTTCCCCACTGCCCCCAGCTGCACTCTCCTCACTCATCCCTTCCCCTGCTGTTGCTCCCTTTTCTCCTGGAACCTCTTTTCCAGCTGAGCCCCTCCTTGGACACGCATTCTCCTCGTTACTGGTCTCTCTTTCCTCCTCGATCCCCCCCAGTCCTCCTCCCGCCCTCCCTTCCCTCTCCCCTCCCTTCTCCTCCCCTCCGCCCGCCTCCACATCCCCCACCCACTTATCCGCCATCCGGCCAATCAGCGGCGTCCACTTGTCAAGCAACCCCGGATTCTCCTACTGTCATGCGTCTCCTTGCTACTGCTGTCACTGACCCTTCTTTCGAGTCTTCTGCTGCGTCTGCCCTTGTCACTGAGCTCGTCGACTTTGCTGCGCGCTGTCGTCTAGACTACGCTGCTAGTCTTGTCGCTGAGTCTGAGTCTGCCTGTCCTCCGTCCGTCGGGGGTGAGTGTGCCCTTGGCACGGACGTCCTTGAGGACAGGCAGGAGGAGTTCCAGTGTCTGGCCGCCGCTTCACCTCATCTCGCGTCTGTACTGCTAGCCCCTGAGGGAGACCCGGATGCACTAGACATCCCGACTCCGCGCTCTTACGCGGAGGCGATAGAGGGTCCCTACTCCTCTCAGTGGCAGGCAGCTATGGATGCAGAGATGGCTTCCTGGAAGTCCACAGGCACCTACGTCGACGCTGTTCCCCCTCCTGGGGCGAACATCGTCAGTGGCATGTGGATTTTCAGGGTGAAGCGGCCGCCGGGTTCTCCGCCTGTCTTCAAGGCGCGTTACGTGGCTCGTGGCTTCAGTCAGCGGCAGGGGGTTGACTACTTTCAGACCTTCTCCCCCACCCCAAAGATGACCACTCTTCGGGTACTGCTGCACGTTGCTGCTCACCGTGACTACGAGCTGCACTCTCTCGACTTCAGCACAGCTTTCTTGCAGGGCAGCCTGCACGAGGAGATCTGGCTGCGTCGCCCACCTGGCTTCACTGGGTCTTTCCCTCCTGGTACCCAGTGGAGTCTCCGGCGTCCAGTCTACGGTCTCCGCCAGGCGCCACGTGAGTGGCACGACACACTGAGGACTACGCTGGCGGCACTTGGGTTTGCTCCTTCTACTGCCGACCCGTCGCTGTTTCTGCGCACCGACACCTCTCTGCCGCCGTTCTACATCCTCGTGTACGTCGACGACTTGGTCTTTGCCACAGCTGACACTGCTGGACTCGCCTACGTGAAGTCCGAGCTGCAGAAGAGACACACATGCACTGACCTGGGTGAACTGCGCAGCTACCTTGGCTTGCAGATCACCCGAGACAGAGCACGCCGCACCATTACCCTGACTCAGTCACACATGGTGCAGCAGGTCCTTCAGCGCTTTGGCTTCACGTACTCCTCGCCTCAGGCCACTCCTCTGCCTACTCGCCACTCGCTCTCAGCTCTGCCTTCGGATGAGTCCGTAGAGTCGAGTGGCCCATATGCAGAGCTTGTTGGCTGCCTCATGTACCTGATGACCTGCACACGACCTGACCTTGCATACCCTCTTAGCATTCTTGCACGCTATGTTGCTCCTGGGAGACACCGACCAGAGCACATGGCTGCAGCGAAGAGGGTGTTGCGCTACTTGTGCAGTACGTCGGGCATGGGGCTAGTGCTTGGAGGGTGCAGTCCAGTGGTCCTCACTGGGCACGCGGACGCTTCTTGGGCTGACGACCAGGCTACGCAGCGGTCGTCACAGGGTTACACCTTCAGCCTTGGTTCCGGCTCTGTTTCGTGGCGGGCTACCCGCTCGTCTTCTGTTCTCGGCTCTAGTTGTGAGGCTGAGATCTACGCCGGGGCTATGGCTGCACAGGAGTTACGCTGGCTCACCTACCTGTTGACCGACCTTGGAGAGCCGCCTCGTTCTCCTCCAGTCCTGTACGTAGACAACAAGGCCATGCTGGCCTTGTGTCGAGAGCAGCGACTGGAGCACAGGACAAAGCACATTGCTCTCCGCTACTTTCTTGCTCGTGAGCTACAGCAGCGTGGACAGTTGCGACTTGCGTACGTGGCCTCTGAGGCCAACACTGCTGATGTCTTCACCAAGGCACTTGCGCCTTGTGATCATCAGCGTTGCTGCACGCAGTTGGGTCTTGTGCCTGTCTTGCCTCACTTGCTCACTTCTTGACCTTCCTTGTACCTCGACCTATATATATACTCTTGCTCTTGCTTGCTTGACTCTTGTATATCTCTATATATGGTCTTGCATGTGAACTGGCCTTGTGGCCCTTGAACTTGTGCTCGGAATGTGTGGTGACTTTGTGATCCACCCTGAGCTTTGCTTTGTTTGCTTGACTGGTCTTGTGACCCCTTCTTCTCCCCCACTTTGCCTATGGGGGTGTGTCAGAATATTATAGCTTACTTCTTTGTGTAGGCTATAGTGGGGTATCCCATAGGGGGTACAACCCAACTAGAGTTTCCTATTTGTACTCACTTCATTCATAGTCATTTCATTCTCGTTCTAACCTTCTCACGGCGTAGCACAAAACAAGACTATCCTTACCGGAAAGTGGGTCTTCCGTGTGAAGACGAAAGTTGACGGCACCATCGACAAATTCAAAGCTCGCTGGGTCGTACGCGGCTTTGACCAGGAGCACGGAAGAGATTACACCGAAACCTTCGCTCCGGTCAGCCGTCACACCTCACTCCGAATCCTCATCGCCGTCGCCGCCATGAAGAAAAAGAAACTGCGACAAATCGACGTCGCAAACGCATTTCTCTACGCACCTGTGGATGCAGAAATCTTCGTCGAGCTCCCGCACGGCTCCCACGGCGAACCCAACCGAGTCTGTCAACTGCTTAAGTCGCTCTACGAGATCAAGCAGGCACCGCGATTGTGGCAGCAGTACCTACACGCCCGCCTCATTCGCATCGGTTTCAAACAACTCCCGCATGACCAGGGCATGTATCGCCTCACAAAGGGAAGTGACTACGTTCTCCTAATCGTCTACGTGGACGATCTCCTCTACATTGGGTCAACCGACGGCATCGCCACGTGGTTCGAAGGGGAGCTTCAGAAAGACCTCACGCTCACGGTCTCTTCTACCGTTACGCAGTACCTCGGGCTCAACATCCGCGAGGAAGAAAACGCAATCTATCTAAGCGCCGAGAAGTACGCCGACACCATCGCGAAACGCTTCAGCCTCACACCAAGCGCCATCTCCACGCCTTACCGCTACACGTCAGGAACCGAAAAGGGACGATCTATCCTACTCAAGCCCGCCGGCATACGCGACTATCAGAAGAAGCTCGGATGTCTTCTCTTCGCAGCAGTCACATGCCGTCCCGACTTATCCTACTCCGCGAGCCAGCTCGCCACCTATCTCAAGAAGCCTGAAGCAGAGCATCTGGCGGAACTCGATCGCGCTCTCCACTATTTCGTCAGCACCGCGACGATCGGATTAACTTATCACAAAAACGCAACTACACCGACCAAGCTAATCGGCTACGTCGACGCCGATCACGCCGGCGACACCGATAACAGGCGCTCACGCACCGGCTATGTCTACCGCCTCGAGCCTATCGGACCCATCTCCTGGCAGTCGAGTAAGCAGGAGTTAATCGCACTGTCTTCAGCTGAAGCGGAATATATTGCACTCTGCTCAGCCACCAAGGAGGGACTTTACCTTCGCGAACTGCTGGAAGAAGCGAAGTTAGCCGAGTTACCCAGCTTCACCGTGTTCTGCGACAACCAGTCAGCAATTCGCATCGCCAACAAGAACGGCTTCGCAAACAGGACGAAACACATTGCCCTGCGCTATTTCTTCGTGAAGGACGAGATCGAAAAGGGGAAACTCGATCTGTCATACTGTCCCACGTCTGAGATGGCAGCCGATTACTTGACCAAGAAGCTCGGAAAGCAGAAGTTCGAATACTGCATGCTGCTGACTGGACAAGGCCACGTCACCTGCGGCGACACTCCAGAAGCGAAGGGGAGTGTTGGAAACAATAAGTCTTAGTGCGCTTCTGTCGTGTCAAAACCCAAGACACTAGCGAAGCAGTCCGAATCGAAGCATCGAGTCAAACCTCGGAGGTTAGGGTAACCGCCTGGAGGTTACGGGAAAGTCAAAGGTCAGCGACCTTTGACTCGACAATTACAGCGCGACAGTTAAGGACACACAACTGACTCGTTACAGAGCAGTTGCCCGAGTCGCACTGTATCGAATCGCAACAGCAAATACAGTTATCTATCCATTCGTATTCCCTGTACTCTTATATAAAACCTTGTATTTGCTTGTTTAATTCAATCCACTTTGCTCTCACACACTAGTGCAAGGTCGGTTCACAAACTTCATTAAACGCTTCCGCTATTACAAATATCCTACCCAGAGTTATCCTCTGCAAAGATCCTTAAGGGCTTTCTCAGGCCAACAGTTTTTACAAGAGACACCAGGAGGACATCTACAATTTGTCCAGCAGAATGAAAGCAGAGTACCGTAACTTCTGTTGCAGCAGTCCATGTATGCATAATAAAACACTAACTTACAGCAGCATGAAGGTTGGAGGCCCTTCTAGAGCTTCTCCATTATCACACACCAATTGGATTTGTCGTAAAAGCTCTCAACAATTGATGCACCACCAATCTCTGTGATGAGCCTGCAGCACAGAACACCAGGAAGAACATGAGCAGAACCACAAAAAAAACTTCAGTATAACAGTAAGAACAAACAAACGAACAACAGCAAGCACACAATTGCATGATACGCACCTCTCCAGCTCTCCTTGAGTGAAAACATAATAATATCGGTTGTACACCACCGACCCCTTCGCTTCATCGCGCCGAGCAAATCCCGAGGCTACATGCTGTGCAGCTGCTGCCGAGCCTATCTCCACTCGATGACATGGCAGGTGCCACGGGACCAGAAACTCCTGGGAAGCTTCCTCTCCTGTCACTTTCCCTTGCTCAGACTCTCCTGTCCTTTCTTCCCCCGACCCTCCCCTTCCAAGTTCTGGGTTTGGGTTCTTTTCCCCACTGCCCCCAGCTGCACTCTCCTCACTCATCCCTTCCCCTGCTGTTGCTCCCTTTTCTCCTGGAACCTCTTTTCCAGCTGAGCCCCTCCTTGGACACGCATTCTCCTCGTTACTGGTCTCTCTTTCCTCCTCGATCCCCCCCAGTCCTCCTCCCGCCCTCCCTTCCCTCTCCCCTCCCTTCTCCTCCCCTCCGCCCGCCTCCACATCCCCCACCCACTTATCCGCCATCCGGCCAATCAGCGGCGTCCACTTGTCAAGCAACCCCGGATTCTCCTGCTCCCTCGCCCACACAGTCACCAGCACCCTACCCCCCTTCCTCACCACCCTAAGCATCTCTCTTAGCGCGTGTTTCCGCCGGGTTTCAGACGACAAGTGGTGCAAAACGGCCACGGAAATCGCCGCGTCGAAGCGCGAGGAAGCGAGGGGGAGCGAGAGGGTATCGGCTACAAAGGCCTCGAAGCCCCGTTGGGTGCAGATGGAGACGAGAGGCGGGCTGATGTCGCAGCCAATCAGAACGGCCGGTGGGCGGGTAGGGGCGGAGGAAGGGGAGGAGGAGGGAGGGAAGGGGGTGGAGGAGGAAGGAGTGGAGGACGAGGAAGGGAACGGGGAGGAGGAAGTGCGCATTGACAAAGAGGAAGACGCAGAGACAGACACAGAGGCAGCGGAAGGGAGAGCAGGCGGGATGGGCAACCCACCATTGAGGTACTTCCCGTTGCCACACCCGGCGTCGAGGACAAGGGAGCCCGGTGGGAGGGAGAGCAGGAACTCTGCTACCTTGGGCCAGCGCGCGAAACGTGTCGCGCTGAAATGCGGCGCTATGGCGTCGTATACCTTGTGCACAAAGTCTCGCTCTACTGCTGGGGTGGTTTGAGGAGAGTAGAGAAGGTTCGGAGGATCAACATGAGGGGGGATGGAGCTCTCTTTCCCATCCTCCCTCTCTGCCCTTTCCTCCTCTGCGCGCTCCTCCACTCCTTCATGCGAGTGCGTCATCACAGGTTCCCCATCGTTCCCTCCTCCCATTCTCTGCTCTTCCTTCTTTCCCTTCTCCCCCTCCTCCCCACACTCTGCCACCCCTTCGTGTGAGTGTGTCACCACACTCCCTCCACAACACCCATCTCCCACTCTCTCCCTCATCCCCTCACGTCCCTTCTGCTTCACAAGCAATTTCTCTGCTCCCGATCCCTCCACCAACATTCCCTCACTTCCCGCTGCCCTGTCCCTATCAGTCGACACTTTTCCATTTCCGGCAACACTTTCCATTCTGGGAGCATCACAGAACTCAGGGTAAGCACACCCGCACGGGCCAAACCGAACCCTCCGGAAGGTGTAAGAAACGCGGCGGGGGGCGCGCGGGAAAACCTGACCGTTGATGTGGTCGATCTTGTGGTTGGGAATGTAGTGAGACCACGCGTATCGGGCCTCCCCTGTTAGGACTAGGAGGGAGCGAGGGGGTAGGAAGAGCACTCTCCTGTCCTCTGCTCTCCTTTCCTCGGTTTTCTTCTCTTCTGCTCTCCTCTCCTCTTCTCGATTCTCCTCCGCTCTCCTCTCATTTGGTGTTGCTACCTCCTTAGCTTCTACTCCGGCTTTTTCCTCAGCTCTAACTGCGCTACAGTCACTGCTGTTGCTGCTGCTATGGTTAGTGCTGATTTGGCTGACACCACTGACAGCACCATTGCCTCTGCTATTGTCGTCGCTGCTGCAACAGGCACTGTCACTGCTCTCACACTTTCCATTGCTGCCCCTACTAATCTCACTCCCCACACCCTGTTCACTGCTCCCACTGCTCCCACCAACAACCTTTTTCTTCCCCAGTGGTTGTTTCCCCACGGGTTGCGGCCCGAGGGGTCTCCTGAACTCCATAATCGCTGGGCCAGCCAGGGAGAGGGAGAGAACAGCACCCTCGAATGCAGCATGCGTGTCGATGTGCGGTGCCAGGCCCACCCCTGTCCCGTACTCGTTGATCTGCCAAGGAAGGGGGCGGGGAAGGAGAGGGCAGAAGGGCCACGGGTTGAAGCCCCAAGGGTCTCTTGAACTCCATAATGGCAGGGCCAGCCTGGGAGAGGGTGAGAGCGGCGCCTTCAAATGCAGCATGCGTGTCAATGTGCGGAGCCAGGCCCACCCCTGTTGCAGACTCATTTATCTGTGCGGGGACAGATGGAGAAAGGTGGTGGGGGGGGGGGGGGTGGGGGGGGGGGGGGGGGCTGAGGGAGAGCGAGAGCACGGCGGCCTTGAATGAGAGAGGACGGCAGCATGCGTGTCAATGTGCGGCGCCAGGCCCACCCCTGCATTCGTACTCGTTGATCTGTGGCGTAAGGGGAGAGGGAGAAGAAGGGGAGAAGGGGGGAGGTAGAAGGAGCAGCGTTTTCTTCCCCAGGCCCACCCCTACCTTCCTGTGGACTGGAGGAGATCAAAATCAACCTCAAGCAAATCATACAGCATGCGTTCGGCAGTTCCTGTACACGAGACCGACCCAACACGAATCAATCGTTTCCATGAATGAAGCAGCCTGAACACGCCCTGATCTCACCGTTAGTTGGTCCAGCGGCATGCAAACTTCCGGGCAGCCCGTGAGCTCGGGCAGCTGTTCTGCCCGCGAAACAAAATCCGACACTGCTGCGGGTAGCGGGCCGATCCACTTGTCTTTCTCGATGTCTCGTGTCTGAAGGAGGGAAAAAAGGGGAGAGAGGGGGAGGGGGGGAGGAGCAGCGAGGGAAGGGGACAAGGAGAAAGAAGGAGGACGCAAGCAGTTTCGGAAAAGCAATCAGAAAGCGCTTACAACGCATAAACAGGCCAAGGGGGATTGATAATGTGGAGAGGCGTAGGGACGAGGCATCAAAGGGGGGATTCAAAGTTAATGTACTCACACAATGCAACCTTCCATTGTAGAAGAATGCACAAACAAGAATACGATTAGAATGTAAGTCTATCTATACACATCCAGTGTTCATGAAGGCGTAACCAATGGTGCTGCATACAGCACCGCAGTTTATTCAGCCAAATAAATAACAACATAACCATAAACATCCATTTTTTAGGGCGCCTAAAAGCACATATCCACTTATACAGCATACAGAGTAGTTGAAAGCGTAACCGTGGTGCTGAACGCGCCTCTTTGTCAGATAATGCCAATCGTTGCCATCCGCAAACTCCAAAAGACTCTGTGGGGAGAGGGGGGAGGGGGGAGATGTTGGTTTGGGAAGGAGGGGGGAGATGTTGGTTTGGGAAGGAGGGGGGAGATGTTGGTTTGGGAAGGAGGGGGGGGAAAGAGAGGAGAGGGGAGAAACAGACCGACCATGGTGCTTGTCGGACCATTGTCTCACCATTGTGGTTGTAAGTCACGATTGTGCTTGTAAGTCACGATTGTGCTTGTAAGTCACCATTGTGCTTGTAAGTCACCATTGTGCTTGTAAGTCACCATTGTGTTTGTAAGTCGTACTGTTGACGCCTGAACCCATGAGCTGACCCCCGACCCCTCTCACCTGTTCCATCTTTGAAGTGACAAAAACGAGGTGCATAGCGAAGCCAACCCACGCCTGGAAATGTGATTGTAAGAGAGTGACAACTGTTCCCGCATTGAACCCTGAACCCTCACCCCCCCAATCCTCACACCTGTTCCATCTCGGGTGTGACAAAATCGAGGTGCAGGAACAGCCCCGGTATAGCGAGCGCGTCAACATTGTGGTGTACCACCGGATGCTCCACCTGCGGGGAAAACAAAATGAGTAAAAAAAATGTAAACCCCCAAACCCTGTGTCCCAGATCTGATGTCATCCGACTAGTACACCCCTGATATCGTAATGAACCCCGAAAAAAATACAGAAATATTAAAACATGAGTTTCCCTTATGAGTGTTCGCAAACAATGCCTACCGGAGCGAATCGCTTCCACACAGCGAACTGAATGTGCATATTTCGTCCGCCCGTTGTTGGCTTTTTTTGTATTGTAACAACGAGTTTCTACTGATGAAAAGGCCTGTGGGAGGTGCCAAAACAAGAAGAGCCTACCGGCGCGGATCGCTTCCCCACGGCGAACTGGATGTGCATCTTCCTACCGCCCGCGTCCGCGCACGGCTTTCCGCTCAGCGCCTGCAGTGCAGCTTCCGCCGCAGCGGAGGCCTCAGCGCGCGAGCGCCCGCCGAAAACGACAAAAATGCGGGTGAGATTGGCGGCGCCGGCCGGGACGACGCGGCGGACGTGGCCGAAGGAGGAGAACACGTCAGCAAGGGCTGCATACGTCATCTCCGCCTCAGCACCGCAGTTTGCCACGTAAAGATACGGCGTAGGCGGAGGATTCGGGCCCTTGGGGCGGGTGAAGAAAATAGAATCTAACCCCGCGTTGCTCTCATAGTTGATCTCCTCGTCAGCCATATTGCAAAATGACTCTGTAAGAATCGAACCCGTACGACACGGTATTGAACTGTCGGATATGACTTGATTAAAGAGACGAAAAAATAAGGGCTGGTGGGCACCGCCTATGCGCTGTTCGAGGGTCTTTGATTGAAGTCGGTGAGGTATGTGAAGGCGTTTTCTAGGAAGGAAGGGTGAATGGGAGCACAACCAAGATGCCAAATGCGTTGGGAACGGAACGCAATGGGCGACAAAGATAGATTTACCTTGAATTACCAGGATAAGGTTTGCAGACGCAGGTGACTAGATGCGATTGGCTGAGAGAATCGGGTTTGATTTAGACGGGGATAGGAGGAGAAGGGACAGGAAGCTCGAGAAGTCAAGAAGTGGCGAAATCATCCTTGGTAGCTTTTGTTTTGCGAACATCCGCGATGTCCTCCTACTGTTTCGGTCGCATGTCAGGTCCATTACATATAATTAACTATCTCCTACTCTGGCCCACCCTGCGACCTTCATTTCGTCAACGTTCTCTACAGTCATCTCGCTAGCCGTCTCGCACGAGAAACTTTTCTGCCTCATGTGATCTGACTGGTCAATCGGCCTCAACCACGAAACGTTACAGTCAGGCAGGCGGTCCGCGCTTCGATTTCTCAAATTCAAAGTTCTCTCGATTTCCACATCTCAGATTCGCGCCTCGGGCGCTCCTAAAAAAGCACTGGAATCTCAAATTTTACGAATGCGAAACTTTGCAATGCAACCACTCCCACATAAATCTCTCTTGTCCGTTCAGAAGCCGACCACACCTGTTTCCCTTTCACTGGAAGACAACGCCGTTTTGAGTTGAGAACCTCAGGAGAGTCACGCCTCTTCCTACTCATACTTCCTTGCATGATCCAGATCACTGCTACAGGCTGGCGATATCAATACAGGGTGTAGCATCCTAGTTTCGTACTGTCAATGCTAAAGCTCAAAATAAGCGAAACATCGGGCTATGCTGAAGTCGTTTCGATAACCATGGTTCCTTCACTGAATAAGCTTTCAGCTCGCAGCTTCCATTCAGAACTTGGCTTGATGAGGCGGAAATCTCGTAGCGGGGGTCGACAGAGAATGGTTGACGCACGCGGTTCGACTCTGCCAGAGAAAGATACTGGCTAGCTTTTCCGCATGCGATGCTTTTCTCCGCCCTTTTGCCGGTCCCGACCAAGTCTTCCGCATGGTAGCTTCGGCACCGCTTTGTGCACCGGCGTTTAGAGCGCAATCGCTGATTTTATTTCTAACATGTCGCCTCGATTATGTCAATGAGCGCGGAGCTGGTGCCGATGCTAACGCTAGTAGCGTGCATAAAAGGCCGCCGAAACCTGTCAGTCAACCACACTTTCTCATCTCTCGTCTCTCGCCTCACGAGATCTTTCGCCCGACAGACAACATCAGCGCTTTAATTCTTGAAACGCCTCAAAAATTCGCTTCAACGACGTTTCCTAGTGACCAAGAAAAGTCGGTCGGAACTGACTAGCAGCGCGCCGCTGCTCCGGCTTCAGAACGTTCAACGTGACGCGTCGAGTCAATCCTAAACTAATAGTAACCGTTACTCGCCGTGACGTGTCGCAGCTTCCCGCTCATCGTTCTACATCAAAGCAGGTTCCATGGCTAGTATTCCGCGGCCTTCAAATCGAAGCCTCTTTCGATTTGCCATGGAACTCCGCCCCCTTCGCCTCTCCTTGCTCCTCCTCCTCCCGCTCCTCCTGCTCGCCACCCCTCGCCTTTCCGCTGCTCAATCTACGCCCTCTAATCTCCCTACCATGACCAGCAGCAGCAGCAGCGGCGGCAGCAGCAGCGGGGTTACCGGAAGCGCCGCTTATCCTGCCGTTTCTGCTGCTGTGGCTAATGCGCGGAGAGGGGTGGGCGGAATGATGAGAAGAGGGGGAATCCCCGGACTGCCCTCGCCTTCCGAAGTCACCATCCTTGATGGTTCCGCCACCCCTGGTTCCGCCACTCCTGTTTCCGCCACCCCTGGTTTCGCCACCCCTAGTTCCGCCACCCCTGGTTTCGCCACCCCTAGTTCCGCCACCCCTGGTTCCGCCACCCCTGGTTCCGCCACCCCTAGTTCCGCCACCCCTGGTTCCGCCACCCCTGGTTCCGCCACCCCTGGTTCCGCCACCCCTGGCTCCGCCACGTTCGAACCGCTGCCGATCCGACCTCCTCCATCACCGCCTGCTTCCACTGGCGCTGGTGCTGCTGGCACTGGCAACACCCCTGGTGCTGGCAATGCTGCCAGTGGTGCCGCTGCTACAGCAGCTGGTGCGGTGATAGGAGGTTTGGGAGGCGTGACAAGCGGTGCAGCCATGGGAGGGTTGGCAGCAAAGGCGGCTGGGAAGGGGAAGGGGTTGAAAGCGGTGGAAGCGGAGGCTATTGCTGCTGCTACTGCAGGGGGGCTGGGGGCAATTGGAGGAGCTCTGGGGGGAGGTTTGGCGGGAGGTATGGGGGGAGGTTTGGGGGGAATTCCGCTCTTGCCCTCGCCTCTCCCTTCTCTTCCGACTGCTGCCCTTCCAACTCTTCCTTCCGCTGCCCTTCCCCCCCTCCCTTCTGCTTCCCTTCCCCCCCTTCCTTCCGCTGCCCTTCCCCCCCTCCCTTCTGCTTCCCTTCCCCCCCTTCCTTCCGCTGCCCTTCCCCCCCTCCCTTCTGCTTCGCTTCCCCCCTTTCCTTCCGCTGCCCTTCCCCCCCTCCCTTCCGCTAGCCTTCCCCCCTCCCCTTCAACCTCTGCCAATACCACATCCCCCTCACTGCCTCTCCCTTCCCCCGCTGGCAATACCACCTCCCCCTCACTGCCTTCCCCCTCCCCCTCTGCCAATACCACCTCCCCCCCATCGCCTCTCCCTTCCCCCTCTGCCAATACTACCTCCCCCTCACTACCTTCCCCTTCCCCCTCCGCCAATACCACCTCCCCCTCACTGCCTTCCCCCTCCCCCTCCGCCAATACCACCTCCCCCTCTCTGCCTCTCCCTTCCCCCTCCGCCAATACCACCTCCCCCTCACTGCCCCTCCCTTCCCCCTCCGCCAATACCACCTCCCCCTCACTGCCTCTCCCTTCCCCCTCCGCCAATACCACCTCCCCCTCACTGCCCCTTCCTTCCCCCTCCGCCAATACCACCTCCCCCTCACTGCCTTCCCCCTCTCCCTCCGCCAATACCACCTCCCCCTCACTTCCTTCCCCCTCCCCCTCCGCCAATACCACCTCCCCCTCACTGTCTTCCCCTTCCCCCTCCGCCAATACCACCTCCCCCTCACTGCCTTCCCCCTCCCCCTCCGCTAATACCACCTCCCCCTCTCTGCCTCTCCCTTTCCCCTAAGCCAACACCACAACCACCCCAGCACCTCCCCCCTCTTAGAATGGCACGACAACCGCACCACACCACCTCCCCCTCCCGCCTCCTCCTCACTGTCCCTTAGGGATCAACCATATCAGACTCACCCCCAACAACCCCCCTTCCACTGCCAGTGATCCCAACTCATCTCAGTACAGGTCTTGACTCATCTCCTGGAAGCAGCTCCGTGTAAATACACGTGTCAGTACAGGTCTTTAGGATAAATTGCTGGGGAGAATTGTACCCTTCTTGTGTGCTGATAGCTGATGCAATGTACTTGTTTATATAAAGAATTTATCATGACTCTCTCCATTTAGCAGCAGCATCATTAAATGTGCACCAAACCAACCCATGTTTTGATTGGTGAGCTAGATGAAAGTACCTCACGTTGACCAAGGTCGCAAAAACACAGTATAAACAATGAATGCTTTTGGTGTCGAATGAACTGTTGCTGCGGAACCACATGAGGTGAAGAGGAGGTTTGTCGTGAGGCGTTTGGTCAATACAATTGGTGCACCAACATGATCCCCATACAATAATGCACACATGAAGCTTGTTAATTGGAGCGGAAATCTCATTATTACTAGCGATGAAGAGCAGCAGACAGCCCTAAAATAGCATATGACATTTGCAATCAACTATTGTGCACCCATGTTTTGATTGGTGAGCTAGATGAAAGTACCTCACGTTGACCAAGGTCGCAAAAACACAGTATAAACTATGAATGCTTTTGGTGTCGAATGAACCGTTGCTGCGGAACCACATGAGGTGAAGAGGAGGTTTGTCGTGAGGCGTTTGGTCAATACAATTGGTGCACCAACATGATCCCCATACAATAATGCACACATGAAGCTTGTTAATTGGAGCGGAAATCTCATTATTGCTAGCGATGAAGAGCAGCAGACAGCCCTAAAATAGCATATGACATTTGCAATCAACTATTGTGTGTTATACGGCTGGAGTTTGAGGGTGTATAGAATTCGCATTGACAAATTTACAGGTTGTGCAGGGTGAAAGCTCTCGCCTTCTCAAGCCATCGTGAATATTTTTTTTCCGCAGCGCACATCGCCGAATCGTGAGGCCGTTTCCGTCGTTCGCGGATCGCGACCTACAAATTTCTCAATTTCACAATTTCCGAATTAGCGCCCCTCCAAAATGCGTCCCTCTGCTCCCCTCCCTCCCTCGCTCAATTCCCTTCCTTCCCATCACAACCGAATTTGGTAAGCTGGCATGGCACCCTTGAAAGCACCGAAAGGCCGAAAATACAGCATTACAGGTCCCATCCCAATCCCATGGCTGCTTCCTTTCTGGCTTGTTCTTTCTTCCAACGGAACTTTCAATTCCAGCTCTCTCGGCCCTTCCTCTGTTCGCCGCGGTACTTCTGCTGCTTGTCGATATTACGCACTGGTACACGTCGTTTGCAGTTCCTTTTGCGTTATCACTATGACGACAGACGTCATTCCGCCTCGAAAAGTGCACGGCAGCGCTACTTTTACCATGCATGCGGGGTGCTTGCGAAATAGGAGGTTGGCCAATAACGGAGGGTAACGAGGTGATCGAGTCGACTCGCGGTGCTCCCGACAAAAGAGGCCAGGCGACACCATAGCACGACGAGTAACACAATTACGTGCGCGCTGCGGCGGCGAGATTTTTTCGCAG